AGAACGTGTGATGTGCTAGATGCTGCGCACACAGACACGCCAGATCAACTTCCGAAGTGTAGGAGCCAGCAGAGCCTTCGCGCCCTCCCGCTGAGAGTCTCCTCTCGGTCAGTGCCAGGCAGCCCCTCACGCCCCACACCTCACGGCTTGAAAGGAGCCAAATGCCTGACACAGCTTAGAACAGATCCCATAAAACACTCTGAAACTGGCTTCAAATACACAGGTGACTACGTAATGTCATAGAGTTTCAGATATATATTTTTTATTCTCTCAAACTCCAGTTTTGACAATCATGAATTGTTTTGCTGGTGGCTGGGAAGAAGAAAGGAAAATGGACCCATGCGTAGGGTTTTTAAGAAAACAGCCCAAGTGCATCTTATGAAACTGAACTGAAACTGTTCAACGTAATGTGAAAAACTACCCAAGAAGTATTATGCTTTTTATCATACAAACCTGGCAAGTTATAGATGATATAACCAACACTAAAAAGACAGACAACAGTGACCTGCCAAGTTTCGAAACTGTCCTCAAACCACTCTTCTTTAAATAGCTGTTGGCAACTACAGTGCTACAGTTCACAGCTGCTGGGGAAAGAGAGCTTGACACATATCAGAACCACCAGCTTCCACCAAAGGTGACAATTACAGTGTTTACCATTCAATGATTGTGTGAAGAACACGGCCTCTTTCAGATGAAACCACGCCTAACAATCTCCTCGTACATCCACTGCTCCTGTGAACACGAACACACGTTTGGCTGGGCAGGAGTCAGACTGATGGAACTGAAGCCTTGGCTATACAGACATTGGGAAGAGTTTCGTCCATCCTACTTTCCTTTCTGGAGTCGCAAAATACTGATTTTCTGTTCCTGGTATAGAACACTACATCAGGGAAGATTAGCAGAGCAATATCTATAGAAACACCAGAGTACAATTTTATTTATCTCAGTGGAAAAGTGGAAGGAGGGACACACAAAGTTAGTGTAGCCCTCCTCAGTATAAAACACCAGAGGAGATTTCTGGCTAGTCCAGCAGCTCTGGCAAGAGTTCATACACAGCAAGTTCATCAAGTGGTTCGAGTGCAAAGCTTTTACTTGACAGCGCAGTAGCCTAGCAATGCACACACCGATCACTTCCCCCAGCTGAGCAGGAGGAACGTCAGACGCTGTTTGTGCAAGCTGCTCATCGCTCCAGCCCAAGCAACCAACCCAGCGAGCGTTCCAGTCTTGCTTACATCACCGTTGACAGCTTTCAGTCACAAGGGTCATAGAGAATGGTGGGAGTCATGCCCCGAACTACCAGAGCTGTTTCAGAAGTGACTAAGAGTACCTTCTGACTTGCTGCGTACTACGTCCAAGGCTTAGAAGGGTCCTTCACTTCTCAGAGGCACGTGCAAGACTGGACTCACTGAGGGAACCAAGGGAGCTGTGAAGCCTTGTGCCGGGTGCTTCTGGGACATCTGGTGGGAGCAGCACCAACGCACGGCTACATCAAATGCGCGGTTTCTTTGAATACGCTAGCACACTTCCTCAAACACATAACAAGTAAACATCAATACTGAACTAAATAGCAATCTTTTTAATTAACATAAGCATGTTTAAACCATTCAAAGACAAAGAACGCAGAAATACAACTCCAGCACTTCTAGAAGGGAGGCCAACTGGTCAGCCCCCTCATCTTCCTCTCTCCTTCTGCTGGCCGTTACCTTCTCCCCTTACCGATGTAGCTGTGAATTCCACAGAATGGAGGCAGAACGAGAAATGCACACCCAAGCTGCAAGTGCCTGGTTACTTTTACTATCATACTTGTTCACCCTCCCTCTTTAAAACCACACACACACAAACTTGCGCTTAGCAAAGTCTTGCATTGTTTTAAAATTATTATACCCAAACAATGTTTTGATCCTTCCTCTTCTTTTGCCTGACACCTTGGAAAAATGCTGTTTTCCTATTCGTTAGGAAGTGCAGTACAACTTCCCATAAGCAAGTAAGGGTAACTTCAGATTTGTAATGAGAGAAAATACTCAGTGCAAGAACAGTTACTCTGGAGAATATGTTTTCATAGACTATAATACCTTAGATTAATTAACTCCAGGTACTTACGATATTTGTAAAGCATGGAGAATCCTAACATATTTGCCCTTGGGTACAAAGAATTTATTCCGCTCACGAATCAACACTATGTTGTACACTTGCTTTTAAAACTAACTTTTTTAAGGATAAGAAATGGCTTTTTAAGCATAGCTGAAAGATATCAGCTTATAAAATGTATTTCTCCTTTGACCGGTTTCCGTACTCTGCTCCTTATTTGGAAAAGTGATGTACTCACCGAAAGGTGTCTTAAAACGTAATGATACTCTTCGCTTTGAAAACTACTTCTCATGCTATGGTGATTTAAGTATTTTCCATAGCCCTAGCAGCCCTGTATGTATATCTGAACACACTGAAATATTGGTACACATTTTTCTTTCCTAGAATAAGATAATCAATCTGAAGACAAATCAAAACATCATAGAAATACATTTTCAATTAGTGTAAGCATAACACTCAATATTGGAGGTAAAATGTGTTTTGGTATTAGAAATGTGTGAGATGTATGAAACCGTGATGTTTCCAAACTCAGCTGTATGGCTCCCGAGAAACTACCAGGTCATACATGTTAGCAGGCTTATAACAAATTTTAAAAATCTGCACAATTATACCAGGTTCTTCTAGTGAAAAATTAAAAATGCATGGCATTTTTTGATGTCTTCTCTTTTCACCGTTTGCCCCTCCTGTTAACACCCATCGGCACGTTGTGTGTGGAAATGACACTTGCCAGACGTATGGAGTTGCCAGGTACCACACTACACGATAAGCTGCATCGCCGTGTGCCAGCAGTGACTTGAATCTTTGCACTATTTTTTTCCTTAGGGAGCAGGTAGGAGTTATAAAGCAGAGTTCCAAATGTTTCCCAGCTATAGCCATGTTTCCCAAGAGGCACTGAAAAGACCGAGTTTGTGTATAGTTATGAAAGACATTGTCTGGAGATGCCAACTGTGCTGAAATATATGAATGTTTTTAACTCACTAAACATGTCTCAACTCAGCAGCATGCTTATCTAAAAACCAAAATACTACTTTTGATGTTTTAGGTATGTGAAAATTCAGAGATAAGGTAATGCTAAAACCTTACACGTTGGGGCTGGAGCAGTAAAGTTTTGTTTTGTCTGTGAAGTCATTCTGAAAAGGCTTTTTCAAACTCAGTCTTAAAATTTTGCTACTGCAATCTATATTTAAATAAAGCTTTTATTAACCCTTTTATGAAGAAACAAGTTTAAAATCTGTTGACTCATACACAATTTACAAGATAAAACACATTTGATTCCAGAAGCTTTGGTGTCACTATTAGTTTGCTTTCTCGAGAAAGAACTGATTTTTTTCCATTGTGTCATGCAGTATTCCCTCTATTCTGTTTTTTATCATACGAAGTAATGAATTGCTTTTTATAAAGCACAGAAGGGTTTCACACTGAAATAGATTAAAAGTCTCTCCAGTCAAAATCTGTGCTAATGTGTCTCCTTTTTACCACACTTAGTGACACTGTAAGCACCTCTGCTGTCTCTCAACACACATACACCGTTCTATCACTTTAGACAAGGACCTACTGCACCATATTATGAGCAGCTAAAAACCCCACTTCTTTCAAATGTAAATACATTTAAAAAATCTAGATCTTAGTGCAGTGGGATCTAATCCCATAAATATGGAAGAAGTCTTTAGTGCCCGTCATTGTTTATTGCCCTTTACTTGCCCTCAGCAAATCCACATAAGGAAGACATATTACCACTTCTTGATGCATTTCCTAGTTAACTACAGCAAGTCTACTATACTCTCCAGATGACATATGAATGCGATGCCACTTACAAAATAAGAGACAGCAACAATCTGAGAGTTGGAGAGAAACCTTTCATACAGTGAAGAACTAGAAAAAGAAAAAAGAAGGAAAAGGTTGCCCCCAAAAGGTTTTTTCCTTTAAAATTAATTTGTGATCTATGGACTTTTAGCAGCTGATGAAATATCACACAATCTAAAAAAATACAGCAAATAATTATCTATCTATATATATTTTTTATATACACACAAATAAAATTTGGCAAAAATAGAACATTTAAAGTTAACTTAATATTCACGTTGTCAATGCTAATTGCAGGCGTAGCCGTGAGGAAGCTCTTTTCCGCAGCAGGCATTCAGTGTGTTCACGTGCTTAATGCTATCAAACTCCAATGACTTCCAGCGGTAGAGGTAGTACCTTTTAAAACTATACTTTGCTTATGTGAGTGAACAGTCATCAAGCCATCCCCAATGAACAACGCAGAACATGAAACAGCCCATGGATTTCTTGTCCTGCCCAAATAGCAAGAAATCTCACTAGGGCAGAGGAAAACAAAATACGATGAATACAACCACATGAGTTAGGAGGGCGAACAAGAAAAAAACCAGTATGGGCTTATGTGGAAACAAACACAGGTACCTATCCATGTAGTGTTTCTACCCAATGCATTAGTGAAACAATATTTTCTCAGTTATCACTCTGCTGTATTCCTTCCCATCAACAGGGTGGTTTCACAAGCCACTGAACTGTATCTCTGATGTTCATGATAACCATTCCTAACTCTTTGTGAACTACATTACTTAAATCCCCTCAAATGTCTGTTTATTTTCTCTTGTAACATATTCCTACAGTGTGAGATTAGCAGACACAGAGTAGGCCTTCAGGCACTAAGAATGTAAGTTAGCCTAATCTCAAGAAAACAAGATGTGCACTTAACCATAAATATTTTTTTATAATCACATCAAACATAACATACCTGTATTCAGTTTTATATAAATTAGTTCTTACATCAGATCTACTTCTGAGGTTATCCAAAACCCAAACACATAACATCATTTTTACCCTTCCAGGTCTGAATAATATTTACAGATATAAATGCTACATCCATTTCTACAATCATTCGAGACACATTATATAACTTTATTCTTTTTATTTGACAAGCAGCAGTATCATGTTCGTCTTTTTTTTACATTTTAATGTAGATACAATTATTAGGTTATCTGTCATATTACAATATTTAGGTTTTTTGTTTTTGTGTTTTTTTTTTTTACTTTGTCTTAACATACATTAAAAAACATCAACTGCAAACGTGAAAGGGGAGGAAAAAAAAAAGAAAAAAGCATGGTACCCAACCAATTTTCCACATTTCAGCAATACTTCACTCATTCTTTTAGTAAAGTTTTAAGAAATGTCATAATGACATGAGCTTGAAATATCTATAGGCATTTTCATTGACGCTCATGACATGGCACTGGTGATGTTGTAAACAGCAGAAAAACAGGGGCTGCCAAGTGACCAATTATGGAGGCACAGGCTGGCCTCTTCCCACAGGAACACACCAAACAGCGACAGCAATGATCTCCTCACAATCATACCTGCAGGATAGCAACATCATGCTACATAACTGTATTCGTCTGCAGAGGCCTGGCTTCGCTCTATGTACTGTTTGTCGATCAGAACTTCAATACACTTCTTAATCATGCTGATACTTGGGTTAAATCGAGCTCTTGATTGGCTAATTACCTGCAAAAGAAAGACACGTTTCTTGTGTTATTTTTATTTACAACAGTTATAAATGCTACAGAAATATTCGCTAAGGGCTTTAAGGTAAATTCAGTACACTTCTCTTTTAAAGACAGGATTAAATAAACCTGGAATAGTTCATTTTTAACAATCAGCAAAGCATCTCTACACATTAGTGTAAGGACACTTGAACTAACTGCTCAGCTCATCGGTTGGTTTGCTGCATGTTAACCAGATCTTTTCAGTCCCCCTGCTTGCTTTACTTGTCACGGTACAAATGAAGATAAATGTTCAGGTTAAAAAGTAATCTAGTATTCAGACATTTCTTCACTTTATTATTACCACAGTTTAAGCAAAGTGAAAGTTTTGTAAAATCATATGTGCCTTTCCATGGCGGCTCTGCTAACTGACTTCTCTTCCTAGACTAGTTCCCTTTTACTGTTATTTATGTACTTTCATTGTTCTGGAATATGTAATCTATGGACTCACAAATTTTGTGTTCCAGCCCACGCAGTGCTGTATACTTGGTCCTGGAAGGCACTCGAACAGCTCAGCTGCCTGGAAGGTGTCAGTGGTGTCCCCCTACCACTGACCTCATTTCCTATACAATTTGAGACAATCAGGATGAACCTCTCTTTCTTCAGTCACTGAACACTGCCCTACGGTTTGGCAAGTTCCATCTGGCTATGTTGGAAGTTTGTAATACACACAGTAAAAAATTATGTATTGTAAAAACAAACCTATGTACGCGTTGTGGAAGAAACTGCCACTGCAGGCAAAACTTTGGGTGTCTCTGAATAGTTCTCAGTTTTGCCCATTCTCTCTTGTAGAGTAGAGGAGGAACTGGTGTGTAGTGACAGAACATGCAATTCTATTACCTTGGAAAATTTTTCAAACAAAAGATCTTACTACTCAAGTGTCATAATATATTTTGCCTGTAGTTTCTCATTTGTTCTGTAAAGAAAGTGATTTTTATTTCAGCTGGATTTCCTGTTTTCTTTACAACTTTTCATGGCTGGCTTTGTCCCAGCTCTAGAGCTTGCTGGAGCCTTCTGTGAGCCAACAAAATTCACCAGGTAGAACTCACCCAGCAAAGCAAACAAAAAACTCAAGAGTGAGTTTTGTTGGGCTAGCAGCCAAGCGTCTGGTACGTTCCACAGCAGTACAAATAAGAAGAAACTTGGTGCTAACAAGCTAATAGACCTGCTCAGATTTCACCTAACTTCAGCCCTACACTCAAACTGATTGTCACCAACACACTTCACGTATTTACTTAGGACAGAAGAGAACAAAAGATAGAACTTTGAACTGGTAATGTTTTGTTGGTTTTGTTTTTATTTTATCAAAGATAATATCAATAACGAGGACAGATAGAAATACCTGGTAGTCAGAATAAAAAATTTTCTGGGAATGACTACATTAACCTTTCCCCTCCACTATTCCCACTGACCTTCTTCACTTTAAGGGAAAAGCTACCTTGTCCTGCAAGAAACTGCAGCATGGAGCTAAAAGTAAAACTATCAGGGCGTATCTAACATAATTAACAATTCATCAAAGACCACACGCCAACATACAGGTCTACCAAGGGCCTTCAGTATTTTCTTGGGACACCTCACCCTAAAAGAAAAGTGTGGTGCTGTAGTCTAACTGTTAGAACCAGAGCTAACTACATTAAGGTCAGGAGTCTTTCCATCGTATCTCTAACAACAGTATAATCCTGCCCTTGTATCTCAGAAACAAATATTTATGAGGCAAGAAAATATTAAGCACTCACAGTAAACAGACTTCCTTTCAAAAGATTCATTCTTACTCCTCAAGAAGTAAGACTAGAAATTTTAAGTGAATACATTATATACAAGCACATAAACATCATGATAAAAGTAACAATGTCACCAGTCAGTAACAAGATCACAAATGAATGTTTTTAGAACTAAAAAGGCTCTTGGCAGTAAATCAAATCTACTACAAAGTTAACAGGGGAAAAAAAAGGAACTTGGACAGCCAAGAAGTTAGTTAGGCATACTCTAAAAGTTTACAAGAGGTGATGGTTATTCTTTTTTTAATAAAGGTCAGTCTAGTGAGTAAGCTGAGCACGTTCAACTCAGAACCACTTGGCAGTTTGGCCTTATTCATACACGAAGCAAAATAAGTCACTGAGCTCAAGGTAGACTATAAAACTATTGCTCTAAAATCTGATAATAGTTTCTGAAGTACCTACAAGCACATCTATATAGAATCACAGAATCATGGAATGGTTTGCGTTGGAAGGGACCTTATAGACCACCCTGTTCCAAGCCCCCTGCCATGGGCAGGGACACCTTCCACTAGAGCAGGTTGCTCAAAGCCCCCTCCAACGTGGCCTTCACAGACTCTAGAGAAGACACCTAACATTCTAAAGAATCAAGTTCAGGTCCAAGTAACAGTACAGCTGAAGTAGCAATTCAGAGTGCAAAAAAGAGGGAAAAATTAACCCTAGGGGATTTTTTTTGTGCTGCTTCAACCTTATTGCTTGAGGTTTCACAATTGCTTATTTAAGGCTACATCAGGTCCCCACACTATATTGCAATATATCAATTATTTAGAAGCCTAGCCTTCAGTTTTGAATGCTCTAATCCATCTACGATATAAATAGTATACAAAATTGAGAACTACAGACTAAATGATAAAGGATATGATTTTCAAAAGTGTTATAAATTTAGTTAAACACTAAGGCAAAAAAAAACGATACAGGTGGCTGTGGCTGGTGATAGCTAAATGGAGCACCAACTCTGCTCTCAGATTTGAACTGAATAACAATCAAAATATCCAACTTTCTTGCAAAGCATGAAAAAGCTCCTGATGTTAACAGACCACACTATTCTGCAAGACTACTGCAAGAGTAAAATGCAGCAGAGGTATGTCAGATAGTGCCTCCTGAGTTAAAGGAAGAAGCAACTGGAAAGCATTTTTTGTTTCCAAAATATAAAAATTTGTAATCTATTGCACCCTTATAAACTGGTCTCAAGCAAAGTACCCTTTGAAAAGCATTTTCTAAGCATCTAAGAGTAGGGAGAAAAAAGTATTTTCAAAGATGAAACAGGGCTGGCCTACCATCTTCTAGTTTTAACTGTAAATTCTTATAGGATTTAATCATAATTGCATGGATGATTTAAGTAACAGGAAATCAAATAACAAAAGATTTTGGGAAGTAATCAGGACCTACGGTGCCTCATCTTTTCGATATCCAAAATCAGATTTCTTAAATTAAGCTTGCTTTCAGAGTATTTGTGTACAAGCACTATTTCAACATCCAAAACCTTTAAGATGTCTCACATTGCAAGTTCAGGGCTTAGAAGCTCTCTGTAGCTGCTTTTTTTTTTAATGAAATAAAAATTAGGCAGTGGGCATGGTAAACTGTTTCCTCCATCACCACAAGACAGAAAGCATAGAGCAGATCTCAAAATGACTGAATGCCTCTCCACCTCCATGCTCTAAAAGGTCCAATAAAGCAGGAATCTCTACTCCCTCTCCCACCAGTCGGCTCTGAGGCTATCCAGCAGGGCTCAGGAGACACAACAATGAATCAGACTGAAAAATGAATGCTTTGGAAGGCTGAGAAAACTAAAACTGGGAACTGGTTGTAGGAGCGAAGGTTAGGTTGGAATAAGAAATACAATTCGGCAGGCAACTAGCACAGATGGGAAAGTGGGAGAAAACCAAAAGAAATAGCACTTCCCTCCCAGCCAGTCTGTGACAGTTCACAAATCATTATTCCAGAATCTAAAAAATATAAATAACTCTACTGCTTAACGGAAGAGGGAGATTATGAAATGTATGTCTAAATACTCAGACAACTTTTAAAATTTAAGCCATGAATTAAAATAAAATCACAATTACAGCTCAAAATTGGCTAGGTGCTCCTGCGGAAATTCCATGCCTAGAATATCCATACTCAGGTTTTCAAACAGACCTATAGCTCTGGCAATGATTCTTATAGGATACCACATTTGTCGGCATAGAACCAGCCAGCAGGAAAGAGCAAGCACAGAGGCACTCAACGCTTTAGTGCTAAGACATATCTACAAGACTGAGGGATGACAGCTAGTGCTCCACTACTGCAGTTTGAAGCAGACTCCAATGAAATTCTCACTAATTTCACTGAAGTATTAGTTTTGACATGGGAGAGGTTTGTGGTCAGATGTTTTACTCAACTATTCCAAAGATTTTCATCACGTCATGTTTAAGAAGAGAGTTTCACCTTACCTCCTGAATAAGAGCATTATGTCGCAAGACTTTACGTGCTTTCATGATACGGACTATAGCAGCTTGAAGATACATTTTTCTGTCTTCATCTACAGCACTTCTGGTCTGCTCCATCTCCTGTGATATAGACAGAACAGTAATGCTTAAAATATAGTAAGATCAATAAACATGTCATAAAAGTATCGTGAATCTATACTTTTTACTTTATAAAAATTGGTCAATTAATACAGGAATCTAGGTGAAGTTCAATTCCAGGCAAAGTACTTCCATAAATCAAGAATAACAGGTTTCACAAAAGCAGCAGGAAGGTAGGAGTGAGACCAGTGTTTTTGCTAGGGAGAAAGGCAGGCATAACTTACTACAATGTATTGAGTCTGGAAGCACATATGTGCCTTGTACAAAAGCCTATGCCTCAGACGGTACAGAGGGAATACACATTATCAACTCTGGAGTTAATTTTGGCTGACAAAGGACATAAAACCATAGGAAAACAGACTGGTTCTGCTGCTCCTGGATTAAGCTGCTTTCTTAAACACCACCACCAAAAAAGTCTCATTAGATAAGACAAGCTAATGTCAGTCCCACTTGGCACAAGAGGAATAGCCCTTGGTTATCTTTTTCTTCCTCTTTCTTATTCCCTATTCCACCTTTTCCTGCCTATATCTTAAGTACAAAAACATTTGCAGTGCTTAAGCTTTGAACTTCAACAATTTCTTTACGGTGATGGAAATCTTAAACAGGGACTCTTACATCTGTTTACACCAAATTAACACAATAAAATCGATTTTAGAAAAGTAAGCTGCCTAATCTGTTCAAGCGAGAAACACCAAAGAACACTTACCTGTGGTGTGTCTTTCTGCATTGATGTAGTAATTTTAAATTTTGTTCGTTTACTGCTGAAGTTCATATTTAATGAAAATGTAGACTCTGTCTCTATATCTTCCTGCAATAAAGAATCTTTTTAAAAAATCAGAAATCAAGCGAGAAAATTATAACAATTTACTTTGAAAAATCACAGTTAGCGGTTTGCATATGTACAAAAAACTTCAGCTGATCTGCAGTTGGAAATTCTGAAATGCCACTTGAACCACGTCAATTTTTTAAGCTTGAGTTTAACCTAGAAATCAAGTCGATTTTAGAAAACACTACAAAGAACTCTGACACATGTGAATATTGTTAACAAGTCAACATGATTAAAGCTACTTCTGTTTTAATATTTTGACAGCTTATTTTAGTTTCAAACACTCTCTGTTTAAAGAAAGGAGGATTGCATTTACTTATGGCAGAAGCTCAAGGGAGCGAGCTGTTGCTTTCATAAATATTACTAACCTTGCCTTCCAGAGCTTAAGGAAAAACATTTAAGCATCCTGTTATAACAGAAACAGTTGACAAACTGCAACTCCTGCAATTCCATATCTATCTATACGTTTCTATTTTTTCCTGTCAGAATCTCAATTGTTAACCACACTTGTAAAAGTCCATTTCTTTCAACAAATGGTAACGATTCCCTGCAGACCAAACACCTTTCCATTCAACTAACAGGACGACCTGACTGATCTTTGCAGTTTCCAGGCAAGAGTCTGTACAAGTACTACCAACTTCCCGCAGAATAAAGTTAGAGGGCTTCTTACACTTTCGAATCTTACCAAACCATGATTGCTTCAAGAGCAAATACTTTGGTAAATACAGTCAATATTTATCTAAATATATAGTCAAAACAATATTCATTCTAACTTTATATTCTGCAACCAATATTCTTTATTATAATATTTTATAATATCCAGCCATAGCATAGAAAATTTAACATGAAAGGGCAAAGATCAACAGCTTTAAGAAATATATGCTAACATTAAATTTTAGCACTATTGTGCATACGGGGTTGAGTATAAACCAAACTAAATTGTATATTGTGCACGAACTCCAAAAAGTATGATTCTAATGAACTAACAAAGATTTAGCCAGAAGTTTTTCTTTTCTTTTTTTCTTTTTCTCTTTCAAGAAAACCCAAACAAACAAAAGCAAACTACAACATTTCACAAACGGTACACTTTAGTGCTCAGATACAGGTAAAGAGTAGTTATTGTATTTAATTTCACTGCTCAAGCCACTAAAATTCACTGGCTTATTCAATAAGTAAGCTGATAGACTGTCTACAGATCAGCTTTCACATTACTTCATGGAGCACAAGGAAAACTGAATTCGCAGAGATGTTTGAATACAATAGCCTGCAAGTTAAAGAACCAGAAAATGCAGTAGTAAACATTAAAAAGGGTTGGAAAGCTATACTTATCACTCTCCAATGACATATGCTTAAGGAAACTGAACAAACCTTATATGACATATAAATACTTGTAAATCCTTTAAATAATGGGTAACTTTCTATGATTATGAAAAATCTCACTGTTTTCTGTAATAGCTCATTTCACCCATGGTTTAACAGACATCTTCCCAGACACTGCTCCAACCTGAGCTCATTTCCAGATATTGGAACCATGTCCCATGCTTCAGCCAAGCATCAGATCTTCCTTGTGATCTCACTTGCCATTTTCTAATGTTTTCTTGGTTAAAAAAAAAGCAGCTATCAGAGCAGCTCTGGATTTCTTCTTGTAAGCGAAGTGAACGGCTTATCTCAGTTTCTTCTGCCTGATACTGCCTGAACAGCTTGAGCTTTCTAGGCTAGGTGGAAGCACATGCTGAAGTTTGTGTGGCATGCACAGGCACTTCTATAGTGTTTCTTAGATATCTGTGCCCTTCACTGTATGGGAGAAAAGGATAACTGTTTTCACGAAGGTCATACAGAAGTACAGAATCACAGAACGGTCTGGGTTGGAAGGAACCTTAAAGATCATCTAGTCCCAAACGCCTGCCATGGGAGGGACCCCTTCCACTAGACCAGGTTGTTAAAACCCCCGTCCAACCTGGCTTGAACACTGCCAGGGAGGGGGCAGCCACAGCTTCTCTGGACAACCTGTGCCAGTGCCTCACCACCCTCAGAATAAAGAATTTCTTTCTTATAGCTAATCTAAATCTACCCGATTTCAGTTTAAAGCCACCACCCCTTGTCCCATCGCTCCACGCCCTTGTCAAAAGTCCCTCTCCAGCTTTCCTGTAGGGCCCTACAGGTATTTAAAGGCCTTCTCTTCTCCTGGCTGAACAGCCCCAACTCTCTCAGCCTTTCCTCACAGGAGAGGTGTTCCATCCCTCTGATCATTTCTGTGTTCCTCCTCCGGACCTGCTCCAACAGGTCCATGTCTTTCCTGTGCTGAGGGCTCCAGAGCTGGACACAGGGCTCCAGGTGGGGTGAGCCAGAGCGCAGCAGAGGGGCAGAATCCCCTCCCTCGATCTGCTGGCCACACTGCTATTGATGCAGCCCAGGACACAGTTGGCTTTCTGGGCTGCGAGCACCTTGCACTTGGCCTTGTTGAACTTCATGAGGTTCTCACAAGGCCCACCTCTCAAGTCTGTCAGGGTCCCTCTGGATGGCAACCCTTCCCTCCACCATGTCAACTGCACCACACAGGTTGGTGTCGTCAGCAAACTTGCTGAGGGTGCACTCCGTCCCACTGTCCATGTTGTCGACAAAGATGTTAAACAGTGCCGGTCCCAGTACTGACCCGTGAGGAACACCACTCGTCACTGGTCTCCACTTGGACATTGAGCCATTGACCACGTCTCTTTGAGCGCGACCATCCAGCCAATTCCTCATCCACCAAGTGGTCCATCCATCAAATCTGTGCCTCTCCAGTTTAGAGACAAGGATGTCATGTGGGACAGTGTCAAATGCTTTCTTGCTCAAGTCCAGGTAGATGACATCAGGCAGAGTGAGAAACAGAACCTGTATGAACCATTGCCTTAACCACAAATAAAGCTCAGACTATTACCGGAATTCCATGAAACTCATGGAATGACAGAGTTTGGCTAATTGCAGCAAAAACCTTCTCACACAAGCCCCCTTGCTCCCTTTCCTCCTCCCTCCTCCTCCTGTAATATGTCAGCAAGGAAGAACACAGTTGCTATTACCTTCACAGAATCACCGAATCACAGAATGGTACTGGTTGGAAGGGACCTCTGTCGGTCATCTAGTCCAACCCTCCTG